TGGTTGCAGCCAGCTCTGTTGTGGTGCTTGCTCTGGCACTGGCTGAGGCTTCACCATGCAGAAAGTCAAACACTTGGTGCTCTTTGTATGTAATATTTGCAGTGCTACCCATTGACAAGCTATGCTTTATTAATGAGTTAATCATGCTTTCACACCACCACTGTAGATAGTGTGCCAGAAAGCTGAGTGCCTCTCCCACCTCCACATGCACTCAACTAATATAAATCCCAGCTCTTAGAAATAAATAAAAATTCAAATTTTACTATTGAAATTAAAAGGAAAAAAAATCCATTTGTGTTTTCAGGTTGCTGGGATTTTTTTTCCTGAATTGTAGTGATCTTGTATTTTAAGATTATTCAATGAGTAAATGGACTTCTATTCATCACATATGATCATACCGTAATATTTGAAATCATGCCAATATATTTGAAATCACCGTTTCAAAGAGGTTATTTGTCTGTATATCCTACAATACTGCTCACCAAGCTTAGTTCCTGGAGCCATTGGCCAGAGCATAGTTGCATGTAAAGCTGTACAGGAGGGAAAGCTGGTTTACAGCCCAGGAGGACTTGCAATCTGAGTCTGAAATGCAAGAGAACAGCTAGAGACAAGAGTACCAAGGGCATAATGTGCTAAAGCCGGCTGCAGCATGAGAGGCTGCAAGCGCAGTGCTCCAGAAGAGTGACTGTTGATCATGTTTTTCACAGGGATCACTGAAAAAGGAAATTATAAGGAGAAGGTTAATTGAGGTTAATAAGATAAACTCCTATATTTCAATGTTGCTATTATTATATTTATCTAGTTGTGCCTCTTCTGTAATATAGCCACTGAACCTCACTAAGTAATATCTGCCTCTGGACAATAAGCTGATTTGAACTACAGCATCCCTGTTAGATATTTAGCTTGGTTAAAAAAAAGACCCCAAGTAATGGTGATTCCACCACATTTGAAAATTATGCCAGCTGTTCATTGCCATCAGAGTTACCAGCCACTGCCTTGTTCCTCATCTAGCTTTTGCGTAGCTTTACCTTTCTGTCTTTTAATGTCCTTTTCTGCAAGATTTAATCTATCAGAAGACTATTCCCCGTGTAGCAACTTGTAGGCTATGACAAAGTTGTGGAACAACTTCCCTTGGAAAAAGTAAGTAGATGGAGTTTCATTAGTCATTCACTACAAAGGATGTTTTCCAGACCTGAAATCATTCTTGTAACTCTTTGCTGAACACTTTCCAGTTTTCCAACATCCTTTCAAAAACGTAGACACAAAAACTGGAATCAATACTGTAGTAAGGAGCCTGCTAAAACTATCTCACTCAAAGCTACATCTACAACTCTCCTAGCCACAGAAGTGCCCATTTTTCAGTACAGCTCTTTTTTTTTTTTTTTGGTTAAAACCCAAACTGAATTGTAATAGTGACCCACTTTTATCAGTTCATGAAATACAACTTTGCTTTCAGATGTATGCATTTAGACAACCCCCTACTATGTAAGCCATAACAATTTCATTAGGAAGTCTTTCACCATCATTTTTTAACCAAAGTTTTGTATTTTGCCAGCAGTGATACTCATTCCTTCTTTTCTAAAACTATTCATCATGGAGCAAAGCTTTCAACACCTGGTTCAGACTACCTCCCTGATGTGACAATCCCCTCTTCACAACCATGCACACTCCTCCCTAGTGTTCATGTACTCAGCCTCTAGTGAAAAAGTTTGAACTCAGACTCAGGGGAAAGTTTGGTTTTAGTTTGTGAGAACAGTCAAAATTATTTTAGTTTTAAAAGAGGCTTTGGTGAAGCCTTCATCTGAGAGTGTTTGCTATTGCCAGCTTTTTATGTTGGAGTTAACTTTGTGGAGGAGTCTTAAAGCGTCAGCTCTCAGCAGTCTGTAATTAGTTGAACATGAAAACTCTTTTTTAAAAGGCAAATTCTGTCCTTCCTTGAAAACACCTTTATTGAGTGCTAGACTAAAAAAAACCAAAGAGCAAATAAAGATAATTCACATCTATATTAGCATCATGGGACTTTTGCAACAGTTTCATGATTGCATAAGAGTAAATCATATTTATGTGATAATTTCAAGCATTCCTCATTCAAATATCAGGGCCCCAGACTTTTTTATGTACCCAGGACTGCTGGTCATTTCTGCAAGAGCTGGAAATGCTGTGGGAGTGATCAACAGGGTGCCAGATGGTCACATGCGTTACTTTTTCAGGTTAAATGTCAACATGTAAATACAACACTTCCATATTTATTTTAGTGGGCTTGAAAATCAGAAGGCAGCAGATAAAAAGTTTGTGGTTTTTTTAAAACTATAAACAGTTGTTATTGCAGCTTGAAATGTAAGGTCTATGCAGTTGACTCTTTTGACAACATGAAATTGTGAGGAGCATTTCAGTTATAATTTCTTAAATATTTTGCCCATATCTGAAAGGAGAAAAAAAAAAAAAAAAAGAAAATGCTTTGGTAGTAAAATCGTAATGGTGGTAGTAGTGTGCATAACCACTTTTTAAGAGATTACTACTGCTATTATTATTTATAACAATGCAATAGTTTTATCAGTCATCACTATTCCTCAGAAATTCCGGTGGAGCAGCTATGGCATGGCTGATGGCTGCTACAGTTTGTTACATTTAGGTGTTTGTCATGTTTCAATTGCAAGGCAGCTGTGATGGCAAATTGCTGATTTACTATTAGCTTGGAACAATTTCTTACAGCTCACCATGAGCACACTACTTTAGATGTGCATTAAACATTAACTGCTGACCTCATGCAAAACATGTGCAAGAAACAAGGTGTAATAGCGAAAGGATTTCTTTCTGTTATGCAAAATACGTGACTATAGGGCTGTTTGTGCTACTGTGTGTAAACCTCAGGGGACTTCTCCACTGATTAATTTGCCAAAGCCATCCAGAAGTAATCTTAGACCTATGTCTTCTCTGTACCACAAACTAGCTCAGTGTGTGCTATTATCAGCATATCGCTTCAGAATGCTGTACCACAAATAAGGACTGTAGACGCTAAGTAGAATTAATTAGTTGCTGCCTAGTTAAAAATTAAATGGCAGTTACAAATGACCTGAACTATGGTGAAGGCAGGATTATAAATGTTCCATGCTAACTAGGAAATAAACATACTTGTAAACTGGGTTTTTAAGAAGTCTCAAGGTAGACATGAGGGTAGCTGTCAAAATTTTAGTGTTCGGTTTCTATATTAGCAATAAAAACAAGCAGAGCTAGACTTGCAAGTGAAACAGCTGCAAAAGTGCATTTCCCTGCTAAAGTGCTCATCTCAGAGTAAGTTAAAAATTCAGGCACTGCTTAGATGTTACACTGCAGTACCTGATCAGCTATTTCCACATAAAAAGAAAGCCCTGCCCACTCTCTCCTTGGGCACCAAAGATGTCAGCAGAGCTAATGCCTGAACCAACAAATCCAGCTGTGGATATCCCTAGACGCTGCTTCTATCCATATTAGTGCTCTTTTAAGTTGACAGCTTTTGAAAATGAATTCATGATGACAAAAGCCCAGTGACAGCACAGCTTCAGTACTGCTGCAGGCCTGGGGAGACCAGATGCAGCATGTGACCTACGCTGTTGCTTTGTAGCCAAATTAATCATGCTGTGCTCACGACGTGGATTTGGATATAAATAATTCAAGGTATCACTGTTTTTCACTTGATCCTGCAAGTATCAGTCTCTGTCGCTAGATACCAAAGGCAGCTGGGTAGTTATTCAGGCTGCAGAGAATGCTCATCAGATAATTCCAGTAAGGTTTTGGTGGTGCAGGAGGCACAGCGCAGAGCGCACACAGCTCACCAAGGCCTCTGGATTGCATCATACAGCTCTGCAAAGTCAAGTATTCGCTGAATCAGGGCCATGTGGCTTGAGAGAGTCTTATCAGAGATCAATTCCTTGTCGCACAGCTGTCTCCCTTTGCCATGAGGATTTCATTGCTTTAAGAAGGGAAAAGGAGAAAGTGAACTCTGGCCCCTCAGGATCAGGATAGCTTGGTTGAATTGGAAGCTGTAAGGCCCCATCCCTCCAGATGAGTCGGCTCTGGAGCCAGGCTCCTTGCAGATGATCATTTCCTTTGCTCCAGGGACCTCATCAGCTATCTGCCAAACAAGAACGGCACCTGTAGCCCAGAGAAATACTGGGTTAGCTTTTGTTGTTTAAAATTTGAAGAAATTGTCTCTTCCCTAAGGTTTTTTTACTGCAACAATGAGGCTTTCCTGACAGACTTTTCCCACTGTCACTGTTGTCATTATAAACCTCTCCCCACCCCACCCCCATTTCTGAAAATCATGATGAGTTAATTACATTTTATGCTACTGACATTGTCAAATGAAAAATAAAGTCTTCAACATCTACTACTTTTTCCTAACAGGCTGACTTAAACTGCAATATTCAAGATGATACAGGAGCATTTTATGGAGTCACTAGTCAGTACGAGAGCTCAGAAAATATGACAATCACCTGTTCCACCAAAGTCTGCTCATTTGGAAAGCAAGTAGTAGAAAAAGTAGAGGTAGGTGATGTGTGGGATAATGTCCTTCCTGAAAGGGTCTTTTCCTTCACAGCAGTGTTCAGGTTCGTTATAAGTCACCATGCAAATGGTGACACTACAGTTACCTGTTGCTTTGGAGACCCTACTCCACCCTGCCTGCGGCACCCTTCTGTGGGGACCCTGCGGCTGACATCAGTGCCACCTCCTCCATCACCTGGCAGAAAAGAGATGAAGCAAAATTGCTTTTGCTCCCATTTCCAAACATTTGGCCACCCATGCAGCCTGTTTGGAACCATACTACCGTGATGCGCTACCCTCTATCACCTAGGGGTTTTTTTAAACATTTTAAATCCATGTACTGTGTTTCATATACACCCCTGCTTATTTTATTTTCTGCACAGAAAGGCATGCTTTCCCCAGTCACCGGCAGCTTTGGAATACAAACCTGCATGTTTTCTTAACATGCAAGGGGCTTTATTTATTTGTCACTTTTTCTTTTCCAAGCACAGAGCTTTATGGCATGGCCAGGTACCTGACTGGTTTATTGTGCAATGGTGCTCCAGCCATTTAACTTGTCTTTTGTATACTAAGGCCCACACCCACATCTGTTATCCACAAGACAGTTTCTGTATGGGAATTATTTTAGCCTCGAGCAGCAGGTTGAGCCTTTACAGATTACTTGTTGACATCCTTCTTATACTAAATATGTTTTCTGTGCATGATGACCATAAAAAAAAATTTCCATCATTTCCATAATTTCAAGCTTAATAAAAGTGAAAAGAACCCCACAACCCACTGAGTAGCTCATCTAGCAACGAGTAGCTGGGCAGCAGGAGTCCAAGAGTCATAGCCTTAGCCTCCTTCATCCCCTTGTGAGCCTCTGCAATCTAAATCAGTCTGGTTTTTCTTCCAACTGTAGCATTGCATCTTTCTGTAATTCAGAAATTGCCTATTACATCATGCAATAATATAGCTATGTTTATGTGTTTATGCATAAATATGTAAGCTTATTTTTGCTGTTCCCTTTGCAGACAGTTGCCTCGAAACTACTGTAAAATCATCTTACCACAAAGTTTTCTGCTTAATTAATTAATTTTTACTTGACTTGGCCTTACCTTTGTATGTTTCTCAGCTGTTCATTTTTTTTAATTCACAAGTTAGAGAACAAAAGTACATCTAGAAAGCTTTTAATAATTAAGGGCCCTTGAATTTTTACCAAGGCACTGCATAACTGAGGCAGGGTGTTAGCAAATAGGTGTGTGTGTGTCTGAGAGGCACTTTCTCTTTTTTGTGTCTACACAAAGTAAGTATCTAGATTTAGTATTCACTTTTTTGCTATTTCTGAATTATCTTATGCTAAATGCTAACTTTTTTTTTTTTTAGACTGAATATGCAAGGTTTGAGAATGGCCGATTTGTGTACAGAATAAATCGCTCTCCAATGTGTGAATATATGATCAACTTCATACACAAGCTGAAGCATTTACCAGAGAAATACATGATGAACAGCGTGTTGGAAAATTTCACAATTTTATTGGTATGGACTCACTTTTTATTTTTCTGTGTCTAAAATCCTTTCAGGCTTTGTATGGCTTTCTTACCTTGTAATATTTAGAACCAGTTTCCGAATCCCTTAGTCATGTTGCTTGCTAAACAAATCGCCCCACTGACTGCGGAGTAATACTCTTGGAATTGTGCACTACAGACGCTAAGGATGAAAAGGCCAAGCTGGCTAAGAACATGAACTAACTTCTTTGTTACTTTCCAAAAATTCAGCTTACTTCTCTCTTTGGCATAGAAGCCTCCGTTTGGTGTTTGCAAAGAGCCTGAGGCAGTAACTTTGAACCATCCCATTCATCTAACGTGTTCTTACTGAGCTGTCAGTCATAATACTGCAAATGTCAGTGGTGTTAATTAGTTCTTGAGCCAGGAAAGCATGTAGTAATGGGTACACCCAACAGGTGCGCTAAAGCATGAAGAATGGGACACAGAGTGGCCTTTAAGCCAGTTTCATCCGGTTCCCCAGCTTGCTTTCACTGTGGCTTTGCGGTGGCAGCTCAGCCAAGCACTTAGAGCCATGCACCACTGCTCCTCCCATGGCAGGCCCAAGAGCTGGCGGCCTGGAGAAGAGATAGTGCCATGAGCACAGAGACATGCGCTCCCCGCTCGGCTGCTTTTTGGCATGCGGACACAGGGTGACAAGGGCAGGCTGTTTCCACTTGCTGAAATGGGGGCTCATGTTGACAAAAGCTGAGCCATGACCACGTGATGGTGGCTCGTGGTCCAGCAGCCAGGGTGGCCTCCAAGAGGAGCGATGGCCCTGCAGCTCAGCCCCAGAGCACAGCCTGGGAGCACCCACACGGGAGGCAGTTCAGCTTACCCGAGAGGGAACGAGGGGACACACGGGTGGGTCACTGACACCTAAGGGGCGTCTCAGTTAAGCCAGTAGTTTCTCCTTTTGGCTCTGGTGTTTCCATGTTAGTAATATCCTGTCTGCCTCTTCCTTCCCCTCAAACAGGTTGTAACAAACAGGGATACACAAGAAACCCTGCTCTGCATGGCTTGTGTATTTGAAGTGTCGAACAGCGAACATGGAGCACAGCATCATATCTACAGGCTTGTAAAGGACTGAGCAGTTATTTATATATACACTTCATTTCACTTCTTTATCAAAACACAGACTGTAAACCTCAACACTAAGTGGCAGTGCCTCTGGCCCAACTTTCACCCACATTTTTCTAAATCCTGTTTTAGTGAAGTAATTTTTAATGTGTTCATATATAATTGTAGCTGTGAAATTCTGGTACAGTTGTAAAAATTATTTCTAAAACTAAGTGTTCTTCAAATTTGTAAACCACGGTTCTTTGGGAAGACTGTATTTAAGAACCTAACGCCTCTGTCTATGGAGGCCTATTTTTAATTCTGATAGAAAAATGTATGACAGAGCATTTGCCATGGGGAAAAACTGACAGCATTTTAAAGAATTTATTTTGTTTTTTTCCAACACGAAATACTGGTTTTACAATGCAAGTGAAATTGAAATGAATCTTTAGCTGTAACTGTAAATGAATACACAAAGTTAATAATCTTTATAGAATTATCTTTGTAACTAATTAGGGTGGAAGATATCGACGAATGTAATTCACTAAATTATTTTTTAAAATGAAACATTTTTCTGTTTGAAACCAAATGAAAAATATAGCCTTAAGAAATGCCTGATAGAAACAGACAGGTCCTAAAATTAGGCAAATTTTGTATTTTTTTCTCAATGCTAAAACTAATCTTCTAATCCAATAAACTTTCAAACAGGTATTGCAGAGAAAGAAAACATCATCCCTTACATATCCCCTAACATATCTAGTGTATTTTAAAAGAGTATAAAGTTGTATTGTACTAATATGAAAATTTGATTATTTAATGGAAAAGATGGCTCATTTTGCAATAAGTAGGTAAATACTGAAGATTTAAACTTGCATTATATGTAGTCTTGTGTGTGCAGTTATATTTTATATGGACAACTACATTTTCTAATAAGTTGAGTGAAAAACTTGCAACTCTGAAATTACCAGATGAATGGAAACAACTGACTTTGCAGCAGCATCAAGTGATTTGTAGACTGAAAGCAAAACACTAACGTGTTTGAAAGACAAATACATACACCTGAAAGAATCAACAGCTTTAATATCTATGAGGCGCTAGAGAATCACAACATCACGCAGAGAAGTTTGGGGGCGAAAAGACGGCAATTATTTTTCTCCTTTTTATCATGGTGCTTTTACACCTCTCCCAGTCGTCTCTCCAGGTCCAACTGGCGACGACCTTCTATGAAACAAACACATATGTACCACGTGGGGTCTGACGTCCTTCTGTGTCCAGGTGTGGTAGTATTCATCCTTCTGATCTATTCAGGGAAGACTCCAGGAAGTGAAGTACCGCTGGAGATATTTTAATACTGTAAGGATTAGGACCATGGCTGTGGCTATGAGTGACTCTCTGAGGTACATGCCCCTGAGAGCAGCAGGCACACTCCCCCCTGGCTACACCAGAGAGTGTCGCTGGGTTTCTGCTCCTCTGCTGCACGCTCAGCGCTGCCCCTCAGTTGCCCAAGCAGCAGCTGTTTCAGCAGGTGCTGGGCCAGGAGCAGCTTCTCATGCAAAACATTTGTCTGAAAGGCTGAGGGTGGCCCGGCCAAGCACAAGCCACCTTAAAGATCAGTCAGGAGGTATCGGCAAAGCATGTTCTTGGGAAGGTCTTTTGCAGTTCTGAATCAAAGAAGTTAATATTCAGTGGGTCTCTCCTCCCTGCCCTTTACCAATATGTGTCCATGCACAGTTTAAGACTAGAATTTACTCCCAGGCACAGTGCTGTCGTCTTAAAAAAAAAAGCGAGTCCTTTTTTTTATATATATTATATTTCTGCATAGTACTTTCTGTTAAAATTGCCCATTGTTGAATTATGTAAATGAGACTATAGCTTAGCCAAGATAGCAGGTTGCTGTCTGTCTGCACTAGACCAAGTTCATACTTAACACTGGTGAAGACTCAGGTTAGAGGATGATACAGACATCACTGAAGGGAAGGGTGGCTGCTTAAATTCCCTAGCCTGCCTCTGATCTAGCTCTAGATCACACCTCGTAGGTGGATGAGTGCTGTGATACCTGTCTGTTACCTGCTTGTGGATATTAGGGCTGATGATCTTTCAGTTCATATTCTGTGAACAGAACAGAGAAAAATGTCCATGGTAAGGTCTCTTTTAACACTCATTTTTAACACTAACAATCACATCAGGAAAAGCACTGCATTGTAACAGCCTAATGGTAGCCCTTTATTCTAAGCACTTGGTGTTACAAGTCAAAAACTACTTTTTTATTTTGTTCTAAAATTGTCTTTTATTTACGGTTTGAATTGTGGTTTTGGTTGTTATATATTTTTTTTTTTTTAATAACAAGCAAACTCTTTGAGGCATATAAAGTATGAAAGTCAATTTGCAAAACCAGGTACAGTTGTTTTGTTTTTTTTTTAATAGAATCTGGCACACTACATATGCCATAACTATAGGGTATAAAAAGTCACAATGTTTATTTGTGTTCACATATGTAATATTAGGGAAACTACTTCCATCGTCTATTCTTTACACTTCTGTAAATGATCCATACCCTGTATATGTTAATTCTTAAAAGCCTTAATCCTTCAGCTGTTCAGTGTGGGGTGTGTAGTCCAACAGGCTGCCTGTAAACTGTGAGCTCTTTTGTAAGCTGGAAATATTTACCTTGTTACTGTTACTTTTTTGTAGGAACCTTTTAATTGAGCTGCCAAAGCATTACAATATGCAGTGCCTTAGCATTATATTAGAAGTACCTTTAGCCTCTTAACATAAATTTTATATCTTGTTTTATTAATTGGTTCCATCTTGTAAAATATCTGTATTTTTTCCCACAGAAATGCTCTTTGACTGCTTGGTCTAAACCGACCTCCTGTACCAGTCAGTCTCATTACTACGCAGTGAAATGCCTATACCAAAAGGAAAGGTCACAGATTCCTAGTTCTCCCTGAAAAGTGAATTGTCTTAATAAATGCTGCCTTTTTAAATTTCATGACCAAATAACTAATTGTGACTCTTCTGCACTCTAGCATGAAAGTGCCTTTGGTTTGAAATTCCAGCTTAGAAAAGTGCTGCCATAATAATGACAATTTGTAGAGAGACCAAAAATATTTAGTTATCACCGTAATGCCTTTGGTTTATTAGACTAAGTTGAACCTACAGGCCTCCATTCACAAAAGAGCACCATTTATCGTAATTTTGCTAGTGATCAACCTGCTGAAGAATAATAATCTACTGTCAGCATTGCAAACCAGCAACTGCTTTGTCTGTGATATAAAAAAGAAAATTTATATTCTCTTTATCCAGTCATGCGTCTGCATAATAAGAGATCCATATACTGCAGAATTTTAGACAGTGGACAAATGTGACTTGATTGTTCTCCTGTAATAATATTTTGATATCTGTGAAGATTTTTCGTTTAGACAGACTATTTTGTTTACAGAGTTGTGCATGCTGCATAAAAGTCAGCTGCATAAAACAAGATGAAAACGGAGAACGGAGAATAGCGTAAATGCAATTGTGTGTTTCTGAGTACTGAAATGGTGAGTGTGAGCATTGTGGATGAAGGTGCTGTTAGAGAAACTCTGGCCAGCACGATTCAAAACACAGGGTTGTTTTGTTTTGTTTTCTCCTAGATGATGTCTTGGAAAAAAAAAAAATCAGCTCCTCTTAATAATGTGTCTGTATTTCATACCTTGTGTGAACGGGGGCCATACTGTACACTACAGCGAAAATTGATGGGAAGAGGAACAAGATTTTAAGAAAATGATGTTAGAAAGAACAAATATCAGCAAAACCAAAAGCTGTCAGAGGGATTATATAGTTGTGAATACAATTTTAACTTGATTTTTTAAGTATTTGATGAAAACTAAGATTAACTTTTTATATATAGAAATATTGTGACACTGTGTGGTAAATATTGTGATAATTCAAGTTCCCTGTCTCTGAATATTATTTTTGTTATTCCTTCAAGGTCTAAATCTCACCTCTTAAGACAAGTAATCCTGTTGAACACAATGAGAATGAGGTAGGGTAAAGACATTTTTGCCCTACAAGTAGAGCATATATTTTCAGTTATTACCAATTCTTTCAGCTGTACTAGTCAATATTTGTGATAAACTACACTTATGTCTCATTAAAATATTAAAAGAAGCATAACGGTACCACTTGGGGCTGTTAAAATTTACTACTAATAAATGTAGTCTTACTTACTTGAATCCCAAAATGATTTTATTTAGGTACTGCACCACTATTTTGAAGGAATTGCAGATATAATGCCTGTTTCTCACTTGCCCTTTCTACCACAGCTACAGCTTATGAAGTCTGGCAGTAGCTTCTTCCGTTAAAACCTCCACGGCTTAGGCTATCTGAAATAATGAAGGGTGTACGTTAATGTTGAATGTAAGTAACTGGCCAGTTCGAGGCAGATACAACATTTGACGTGCTAATCCATACCTATTTATTTTGCCACTGCAAGTCCTAGGGCATACTTGCTTTCCTAAGCAGTTCCCCTGATCGTTTTCCTGCATCACTCAACCAGTCATACTGAGAAACCTTTTGTTTACCCTTCCCTGGACCCGTTCTGATACACGTACCCTCTCACACAGCACATGTGTGTCCAGTTTTGTACTTTTCTCAGGATGATCTCTTTTCCCCTCATATCTTTCATAACAAGATGTTTAGCCCCCTAAAAAAAATTGAGGCTGGACAAGTCAAGTACAAGAAACACACTTTGGACATCATAGTCTTTTAACTTTTCAGGTCATTCTTGCTGAGAACATGTAATTAGTTTTAGTGTGTAAATTAAATCTGAAATGCACTCAGTTGACTAAAAGGAGATGGATCCCTGTTACCTCCTTACAGAATATGTGTTTTTGTTTTTTTTTTTGTTCTATGGGCCTCTGATTCAGGCTCATGACTGCAGACAAAAAATACAATATGTGCCTGAAAAAAAAAAAAAAAAGACAAAAGAATTTTATAACATTGAAAACCTGAATAGCCTTTAATTCTTCAGTACATTTTATGTAAAACAGGTTGGGGGTTTTGTTTTGTTTTGGGGTTTTTTTGCCATGTGCATTTGTTCGCATTTGTAAATGACTTAATGGAATTCTCACTTTATGTTTATTTGTGTAATGTGTATAAAATGGGTTTGTGACTTAAGCATATTCATATATGGTCAGTGGTTACTTTAATATTGTACTGCTGCTGGTAACTTTTGATATAGAACTTGCCTTTTGATGATAAAGTACCTCTAGGTTAGACAGTGAGGGAAGGCTCTTTGGAAAAAGTGAATGTTCTCCAGTGTTTTCTTAAGATACTTGCAGAAGCTTTCAAAAGGAGTTTCAGTCAAACCTCTTGGCAGTACAGTATTCTTGTATTTGTTATTGTCTGTGTGTAGGTACTGGTACCTTTTTTTTGTTTAAAATGTTTTAAGTGTTGGCTTTAAAGTGAATTTATCTTTAGTATGATAGTAATATGAAAATTATAGGGTTTGTGTGCAGAGAATTTTTTTATAAAGTGCTTTGTAAAAAAAAAAAAAAATGTATTCTAGCTTTCGCGGTACATATGTGTGATAACTTTAATATCCATGACAGTTAAGTGCAATTATTTCATCACTCTAAAAATGCTATTTTTGTGTCGGTTACTGCAGGTGTTTTCATGTCTTTGCAAAGTGACACATTTTGATGCCTTCTTGATAAA